GCTCTCCCCAAAATCTGGCCCATGGGGATGACTTCACCTCAGCCAGTCTGGCCACTGGTGCTGGCCTTAGCTCTGGCCCACCCACCAACACAAAGGGTGCAGGTTTACCTCTGCTGTTTACACAAAAGCTCAGAGCCTGTGGGATCTGGGCTTTCACAGCAAGTGTAGCTCCTCAGCCGTGTTCTCTGCCCCTCCTTGAAGGACCAAACTGATGTGCCCACCAGAGAGCACAGGGTCTGAAGTCAGGAAACTAGCTCTACCACCTATAAACTATATGGCTTCAAAGATACTCAAATCTCTCTGAGCCTTGGCTTCAAATGGGGATGGCAATTCCTGCTTTATGAGGTGGCTCGGAGTGGAAACAGAGGAAGGAAGAAGAACCTGTGGCCCTCCCGGAGCAACTGGGCTGACTGGCTGCCCTGGCAACCCCTATGGGGGCTGGCAGAGCACACTTACCCCTCCTCCAGCGTGTCCACCATGGGCTTCGCCTCAGGACAAGCCCCAGGACAGAGGAATCAGATGCACAGTCTGCCAGCCACTGTCCAACATGGGCAGCCTGACCTCATGCCACGTAGGTGGGCAGTTATGGGAACCCAGAAGGGAGTGACCACTTCCTCAGAGAAGGGACTTGGGGGACAAGTAATAACTATGATAATGACTATTATTTACGGTGTGCTTCCTGCTGAAAGCAGGTCACCTCACATCACCTCACTGAATTTCCACAACAATTCTTTGTGGTGGAGACTGTTGTTATTCCTGGTTTGCTTAAGAGTAAAAGTAGCCAGCCTGAGGTCCCATTACCAGAAATTGCAGGACCAGGTCTAAAGCCAGGGCTCCAGTTAAGAGACAAGAAGATCTCAAAAGGGAATACCATGAGGGCACTGAGGGCACCCAGGAAGCTCCTTACTGGTCCCCTTGCTCTGTCAACCCGGTGTCTAGCAACAACCACACATGGAAAGCACCAAGAGCAGATGCTGAATAAATGCATGAGCCCCTCTCTTCTCGTTGGTGCCTTAAGGCACAAGTCGCCCCACATCCCTCAGCCCAAGTCGAAGAAAGACTCACTGGGGATATAGAGGTCAGGGGCATTGAGATCTTGCCGCGGTGGCAGAGGCACATCACGACTGTACTGCACTTCCCAGTTCTGGTGGTGGCAGCAGCAGCCAGGTCAGAAGAAAAAGATAAGAAAAGAAAGAAGGCGGTTGAGGTCTGGGGGCCAAACTCTGGGACAGGACAAGGAAAGCACAGGGCCCTGCCAGCTCACCTGGTGTGTGTAGGGGAAGACCAGGAGCCCCAGCTTCTTGGCCACATAGGCTGTGTCCACAGCAAAAAAATACTTGAGTTTGTTCACAGACACAAAACGGTGCAGCTGGGAGAGGAGAGAGGAGGCTGTGGGTAAGCTGTACCCCAAACCTCAGGGTGCTCCTCTGTATGCTCCTTCCCTGAGGGCTGCTGTTGAGAATTAGGTGGGATCCCACGATGCCCCATCCCTGGACAGAAATCTTGCCACCCTTGCCCTGGGGACGGGCCACACCTCCTTGTGCACCATGTCCTTCCCATGGGATGCGATGGAGCTGCCATAGGCCATAGCCACATTGGCCATTGGGTCCCCAAGCAAGTGGTTGACATTGAAGGCCACATCGGCTCCTGGGGCTGGGTATCCTCCTGGCTGGCTGGAGTAAGCACCGCTTGTATCATCGAAGAGGGGAGGGGGATCTGGAGCTGCCCGGGCCCTGTGCTTGGAGCCTGTGAGTTTGTAGGTACTAGAGTAGGTGACAGGAATATCAAACATGAGCCCAAACCACCCCCCATTCCCCAGGTTGGGCCAGCCCTGTATGGGTCCTGGGGTCACCAAACAATCAGTTAGTGAAACCTGGCCTGGATGAGGGGTAGGTAACCCAGAAAGAACTTTGATGAAGGATCGTTTTCCAGAGGTGCCAAATGTAGGCAAAGAAAGAGCTGAAGCAGCGCCTGGAAGTGGTTGCCCACCTGGGGGTTTCTGGGGTCCTTCTCCAGGGAAGTGATCCCTTAACAGCCTTGGGAGAGTGAGTAGAAGTTGGCTAGGTGGAGAAGATAACTGGGAGGGCATCCCGCATTAACAAGGGTGGAAAAGGCGACAGCCGGGTACCCAAAGGCCCTGGGCGGTGGTGAGGGCCCCTACCAGGGTCATGACAAGTTTAGAAAGTTCTGGAAGCAGACCCCGTTCGTGCCCGCGTATGGCATGGGAATCCCAGCTGTGCTGTCACCGCCTGATCTCAGGATTGGGCAGAGAGGGCGAAGTCCGGGACGCGTTGCGGACTCGCGCAGGGCGGAAACCCGAAAGACACCCGCCGCCCTGGGGAACGGTCACGGCTGCCCCTCTCCCTCAGGGTGAGCGGGCCGCGCCGCCGACCCTCCTCCGGCCGACCCGGCCGTGTCCCGCCCGCCCCGCTCCCCACGCACCGTGGGCTCCGTAGCCCGAGTGATAAGCCATGGCCGCGATGCTGGCGCTCCCAAAGGGCCCGCTGCGCCGCCTCGTGGGTACGAATACTAATAAGGCAGCTGCTCGGCTTCCTGGGCACCGATCGGGGTTACGGAGCAGCCCGACACGTCCGCCAGCTCTTCGACCGCAGCCGCCATGTCCTCAGCGTTATCCTCCGTCGCCTACCATTGGCTCCCCGGCGGTGCTAGGTCGCCTCTCCCCTCTCTCAATTGGCTGTTGGCGCGGCCTCGCGGAATTGGATTCGGCAGTAGTCAACTTCCGGAGGGGTATAGGCGGAGCAACCCTAGGCGCTCTCGGATTGGATGGTGTGTATGCTAATTAGTGGCCAGAGCAGCCAATACCCAATAAGCCAATGGATTAAGGTGGGGGGTGGGGTTGAGAATTATTTCCGCGCCTGCGCAGTGGGGCACTTGACGCTCGCCCTGCCACGACTACATCAGGTGGAGACCTGGCAGAGGCGGGAGTCTGGGAAAGAAGTTTAGCTCGGGGGACGTAACCCAGGAGGGAATGGGTCCGTGGTGCTCTGCCAAGTCCCGCCCGTCTCCTGCCCCACCCTCTCAATGCTAGCTTTCTTCTCCCATCATCCATCCTCCCCTCGCCCCTCCTCTAGTCGTGGCACGGAGCCCGGTCAGCCAGTGAGGTGTTAGCAGGAGGCCGGGAGGGGCAGTGATGGCGCGGCCCAGCGAGCCCCGGAAGCTGACTCCTCCTCCCCACCTCCCGTCCCTCCTTCCCGCGCGGGTGCTGTCCGTTGTCCGGTGCTGAAATGCCCTACAGCTACTGCCGCTATCCTGCAGATTCTGGCGCCCAGCTGCTGGGAGGGTCTGGGCTCTTGAGACAGAAAGACAGACAGAGAGAGACACACACACAGTACACACAAATACATTACACATATCGAAAACTCCAGAAGATCTGAAATCCCAGAGATTGGGTAGTATAGGATCCTGCACCATGCCTGACCCATCATCTCTCCCATGGTCCAGCTGATGTGAGGGTGGAGGTATGCTGATCCACCTCCTGAAGGTGCATTTGAAACTCCTGACTCATTGCTGGCCCTACGGTCATCTTAAAGTGAGACACCATCAGCCCCCAGGCCTCACTCCCGAGGTCGAGGGTTCCTTTCTCCCGCCTAGTTTGTGACCACTCTCACCCTCCTCAGAGAGTCTTCAGGGGCTTCCCTTCTCACACAACTTCAGCCACCACTTTCTGGAGAGCAAAATCGGGTCCTCTGCAACTGCCTCTAGCTACCCAGGGTCCAGTTATGCTAGGTGACTTTCCTACTTTCTGAACACGTGGTCTGATCGCAGTGCCTTTGCTCAGAAGTCCCCTCCACCCAGGATGCCCTTCCCCCTCATATCCATTTGTCCAAAGCCTAGTTATTCTTTAAGCAGTTTAGCTTGTGCTTCTCAGAGAGACAAAGGGAATAGAGGACTGACATGGCTGGGGGTTGAGGCCAGATGCTGGGTTCCAGGATCCCTCTGCATACACCAGTTTGCCCTGGATATAAATTCCATTAGGACAAGGCCTGTATCATTCTCCACTCCTACCTGTGTCTTCACAGTGCCAAACACAATATTTGGGTATAGAAGATACCCAATAAAAATCTGTGTCCAATAAATAAATAATAAATAAATAGATGAAGCCTTGGTTCATTCCTTTACTCCTTCTACCATTTCAATCACCTCAGCTTTAAATGGGTATGGTTATTGAACTGAATGAATGGTCTTTGAGTTGCCCTTTGGGGAGGAAAAAATGGCAAAGCAACCCAAAACACCTAGCATTGCAGCTCCCTATGTCCCACCAATGAATTGTCTACCTTGTGGGTAGGCCCAGAACTAGGGGCAAGTGTGAAGGTCTGAGGCCCCTAGGGCCAGGGAGCAGCACTGGGGCCACAGGTACCTGGGAGGGCATTATCCCATGAAGGACAGATCCTGGGCACCGGGAGGACACTCCCCGGTACCTCATGATAATGCCTGTGCACCTTTATATTCCCATTTCTCAGGTGAGAAGACTGAGGTTGGGGTGGAGAGTGCAGGCCCAAGGTCATGAAGCCTAGGGCCCTGGGTGCCCTGGCCCCCAACCTGCCAGCTCTTAAGTGGAGCCCAGGACCTCTGTCCAGGGAATGAGGTGTATCACACCTTTCCGGGTTATAACTGCTTTCTCCCCTACAAGCAAGGCTTCCAGGGTGGGATCTGGGTGGGCTTAGCCCTAGGCCTGCTCCTCAGAGACACGTCGCCTGGGGAATTTCCCACCTTTGAGATCCCCCTCCACGTTTTCACAGCAGGGGAAATAGGCCCCAAGATCAAGGACTCGGCCAAGGTCGCAAGCGCAAGCGCGGCAGGAGGCGAACCCAAGCTTGGGTCGGCCAGCCCGGGGTTCTCGGGGGCGGGGGCAGCGCCCGCTGTACCAGGCGATGCCGGCGGCGCCGCGGGTGCCGCGGGGGCGGGGTCAGCGGAGGGCGGGGCGCCGGGCACCGCGGCCGCCGCCGCCACCACCGCCACCGCCACCGCCACCGCCGCGCTCGGGCTCGAGCTCGGCGCACTCCCTGCGCGGCCGGCGAGCCGAGCGGACGCCCTCGGGGCCGCGCCGCAGCCCTCCGCGCTCCCCCCTATCATGCCCCGGGCCCGGGCCCGGGCCGCCCCAGCAGCCAGGACACGATGCCCGAGGGCGGCGGAGGCGACAGCGGGGAAGTGCCTGCGTTCATCCCGGACGGCGAACCGCTGCGGGAGGAGGTACCGGCGCCGCGTGTTGGGGGGCCGGAGCAGGGGCTGGAGCGGGGCGAGGGGGACAACGGAAGGGGCAAACCCTGGACGGGGGCTGAGGTGGGAGGTCTCCAAACCCCAGCTTCCAATGACGTCACTAGGGGAGCCGACGTCTGGCGTGTCGGGGGGCTCGCGTGGGGGTCGGGTGGGGGCGCTGGGAAGGCAGGAGGGGGCGACTCCCGCCCCGGGCGCCCCTTCGTCCCTCCTCGCCCTCCTGTGACGTCAGCGCCTGGCCCCCGCGCGCCCTCCTTCCGCAGCGCAGCCCCTCGGCCCCAACGCCCCGGGGTCGGACCCCCGCCCCCCGCAGCCCAGCGGCTCACGAGGTGCCCGGGCGGCGTCTGCAATGCAGCAGCAGTAGCCAGGGCTTGAGGGAGGCAGCGGAGGGAGGAGGGGAAAGAGGAGAGGAGGCGGCCTCTGGTACCCCTTCTCCCTTCCCCCGCGGTGAGGCCCGGGGCGGTGGGGGCGGCCTTCCTGCTGGCTGGGACCCCCAGAGTGGCTTCTGCTCAACCCTGGCCAAGAAGAGGATCTGCAGGAATGTGGGGCCCTGTGTGGAGTGCAGGGGGGATAGGTGATGAGAGGGTCTGTGGATGTGCTTGGATGGATGGATGTAGTGCACTTGTGGGTGTGTGAATGCTAGTCCACGCTCCCGGCATCTGGGGTGAGCCAAAGTCAGGTGGTGGTCTGGTGGGTCCTTGGCTTGGGTGATGTGGTCATGCGTGAACATGTTCTGCTGTGGGTGGGTCTCTCCCCTGGAGTCTAGTGTGTGAGTGTCAGGTTGCAGTAGGGGTGGGGTTAGGGGATGTGCACTGTGGTCAGGTGAGGGTCTGATGTGTACCTGGGCTTCAGGGAATGTGTAACCCATGTATGCCTGTGTGTGTCCTGTGGTGGGTGGGTCTGTGTGGGGTGTGTGTGTGTGTGCGGGTGGTGAAAGTATGCACTTGTGCACCGTGTTATGGTTATGAGAGATTGTGCCCTGGGCATTGGTGACCGTCTGGTGTCTGGGATGGGCAGGCAGCCTGCACATCTGTGTGAGGTGGGCCTGTGATAAACATGGTGGAGGATGTGGATGTGTGGCCCGCCCTGCAGGTCAGCGGTGATAACGAGTACCTGTGGTGGGTGATGGAGTGGAGGGGGGGGGGTGGGCTGCCCTGGGCTGGACTGGGGGCATTTCTTCTCCTCTTGGGTCTCTCGAGAGACTGCCCAGCAGCTGTGCTCTACCCCCTCCCTCACAGCACAGATGGGCAGTGGAGGATGACACTCCATCTGCTCCCCCCAGACTTACACCTCCCCCGTTCCCAGCTCTTCCTCTTTCTCACTTACTTAAAAGCTTCTCCCAAGTCTCTAAGTGAAGCCAAGGGACCAGAGGGAGTCTCAGGATAACAGTAATAATATTTATTCCTGGGGCCAGACTCTGTGCTGCAATTGCCACATGTAAGGTCTTCTTGAATCCTCACAAAAGCCCCAGTCTCCAGATGAGGAGACTGAGGTACAGAGGGCATGAGGGACCTGGCCAAGTCATACAGTAAGTGGTGGAGCCAGCAGTGAATCCCAGGCAGTGGGGTTCCAAAGCCCATGCTCTTCACCCTTAGGACCCCTGCCACGCCGGCCTCCTGTACCAACAGGTCCAGGAATTAAGGCCTGGAGAGGACAGGAATGTGGCCAAGACCACACAGAAAATGAGGGGGAGAACTGGAACCAGAGTTCAGTTTTCCCAATGACCAGTCAGGAGGTCCTTCCTTCTCTTGGCAGAGATGTGTCTGCTTTTCCCTGGGTGCCCTTGACTGAGGGATGATGGGGCACAGTAGAGGACAGCTTGGGGGCAGACAGGCCCCAGTTTGAATCATGTAGCTCTACTGTGAGGGCTGGAGGGGTGAGGGCTGGAGCAAGATGCTCTGTCCCTTCGGGCCTCAGTTTCCTCCTCTGTAGAGTGGAAAGCAGAGCCCCAGCTCCTTCTTGGGGCTTAAGCAGAGGGGCAGGAGCAGCCAATGGCCCATCCTGATGCCCACCTCTCCTCTCTCTGCCCACCCCGCAGCAGCGGCCCCTGAAACAATCCCTGGGAAGCTCTCTGTGCCGAGAGTCGCACTGGAAGTGCCTGCTCCTCACACTGCTCATCCATGCCTGCGGCGCCGTGGTGGCCTGGTGTCGCCTGGCCACGGTGCCACGGCTGGTCCTGGGGCCTGAGGCAGCCCTGGCCCGCGGGGCTGGGGGCCCCCCGCCCACCTACCCCGCCAGCCCTTGCTCAGATGGCTACCTGTACATCCCGCTGGCCTTTGTCTCCCTTCTCTACCTCCTCTACCTGGCTGAGTGCTGGCACTGCCACGTGCGCTCGTGCCAGGCGCCGCGCACTGACGCCAACACCGTGCTTGCCCTGATCCACCGGCTGCAGCAGGCGCCGCCCTGTGTCTGGTGGAAGGCCACCAGCTACCACTATGTGCGGCGCACCCGCCAGATCACCCGCTACCGCAACGGCGATGCCTACACCACCACGCAGGTCTACCACGAGAGGGCTGACAGTCGCACGGCTCGCGGCGAGTTTGACTACTCGGCCCACGGCGTTCGCGATGTCTCCAAGGAGCTCGTGGGCCTGGCTGACCACGCGGCCACGAGGCTGCGCTTCACCAAGTGCTTCAGCTTCGGCAGCGCCGAGGCCGAGGCCTCGTACCTCACCCAGCGGGCCCGCTTCTTCAGCGCCAATGAGGGCCTGGACGACTACCTGGAGGCCCGCGAGGGCATGCACCTGAAGGACGTGGACTTCCGCGAGTCGCTCATGGTCTTCGCGGACCCGCGCAGCCCGCCCTGGTATGCCCGCGCCTGGGTCTTCTGGCTCGTGTCGGCGGCCACGCTGTCCTGGCCGCTGCGCGTCGTGGCAGCCTATGGCACAGCCCACGTGCACTACCAGGTGGAGAAGCTTTTCGGTGCCGGCTCGCCCCCCTCTGGGGCGGTGCCCAGCGGGCCCCCGCTGTCCCGGGTGGCCACGGTGGACTTCACCGAGCTGGAGTGGCACATCTGCTCCAACCGGCAGCTGGTACCCAGCTACTCGGAGGCCGTGGTCATGGGTGCCGGCTCCGGTGCCTACCTCCGTGGCTGCCAGCGCTGCCGTCGCTCCCTCAGCAGCAATTCGCTGCCCCCTGCCCGGCCCGGTGGGCCCCGCCTGCCTTTCAGCCGCAGCCGCCTCTCTCTGGGAGCTGGGGGCCGGGCCACACCAGGGGTCTTCCGAAGCCTGAGCGGGGGGCCACTGGGGCGCCGCGGAGAGGACACAGAGCCCCTGGAAAGCCCACCGTGCTACGAGGACGCCCTATACTTCCCGGTGCTCATTGTCCATGGTGACAGCGGCTGCCAGGGGGACGGGCAGGGTACACTCTGAGACCCGTGGGGTCCCCAGGTGGCCTCTTCCCCACCACCCCGCCATGGGCTTTGATGCCTGAGCGGCTGTTGTCCGAGATAGGAGGGAAAACAGACCAGCACACGAGGGGTGGGGGAGGGGTAGAGTCCTTAATCAGACTGAAGCGCAGCAACCCAGGGTGATTTGGGGGGTGAATGGACACCACTGAAGTTGAGTCTGTGAACATCCCAGCATGGGTCCCCACCACCACCGTGTTCCACCCCCTGCGATGGCTGGTGATCTAGCCTAGAGACCTGTCAGGTTGGGCAGGGGGGATGTTTCCAGAAAGCCTGGGATGGGGAAGGAGTCCTGGGGACAGCTATTACATGCAGCAGAGGGCTGCTTACCTGCTCTTCCCTGCATGGCTGAGGCCACATTGGGAGCCCTCGAGCAACCCAGAAGCACAAATTGGTGGTTTGGGGCTATGCCCAGTTGGGCTGGCTTCCAAGAAATTGAAGAGCTGGCTGTGACAACACCACAGCCTGGCCCCACTACAGCCCCAAGTCCCCATCCTCCTCGCCTGACAACCGCTCCCTGCCTACCCTCTGGTCTCTGCTCAGGGCCAGTCCCTGATCAGACTGTGGCACAGCCCCTGTACTGGGAGCCTGGTTCTTGGAGCACAGCCTTGTCCCCCTTGGCCCCCTGTTTTTCCCTGGTGTACCCTCCCCTCATATCCAGCTCCCCTATGACCTGGCGTTCCTTCTTAGGACCCTGCCTTGATCCCACATCTTCTGGTCTCTGCTCCTGTCCCCCCAAAGTCCACATCCGCCTCTATCAGCCACGCACACTCTCCCCCCGAGGCTTTGTCCTCTCATTGCTCCCCCAGACTTCTCTGCTCTTCACCTTCCTGATGACCCACGGGGCCCAGGGCCACAGGGCATCCGAGGGACCTCGGCCTTGGCCACAGCCTCTTGGACGATGCACCTGCTCTGCCATGGAGGCCCCTGCTTCTCCCATCAGTGGGGCCAGGCCCATGGGACTGTTCCTCCTCCAGGGAGGAGAGAGTAGTCCCCTTCTTCCCAGCTGGGGTTTCCACCACCTCTAGGGTGTCAGTGGGTGAGGGAGGAGGCAGAGAAGACACAGATAAAATAAAAGATATGAAATGCAAGGTCTCACGTGCATTCCTAAGTGGTGGGTCTAAGGCCATTACAAGTGCAATGGGCCACCCTGGGTTAGCGTTTCGATGCTTGGTTCTGGAAGGGGGGGCCAGGTTGGGCTCCAGTGTTCCCAGGAACAGGGTAAGCTGAGAGGGAACCTCTTTGCCCAGCCTAGGGCCTGAGACTCAGGTTTAAGTTGCTCTGAGCAGCTCACCCCAACTGACTGGCATCTGGGTCACTTCTAAGGCATTGTCCAAGTGGTCCATCTTCCAGCCCAGTGGGGGTTTTTGTTCTACCGCTGGACATACTGAGGTCTAAGAGCCTGGTGACTGGTCCCCAGAGTGGAAGAAAAGAGCTATGGTCTGTGGCGTAAGTTCAGTTCCCTCAATGGCCACTGGTGTTCGGGGGAGTGGGCGCTAAGCATGTCGGAGGACACAGGTGGGAAATAGCCAGCCCTGAATCAGCACTTGGGATCTGAAGATCAAGAACGAGGGCAAATGAAGGGCCTCACTCACTCCTGGAGGTGGCATCTTCACATGGATGGCCGTGCAGGGAGTTCACTGTGCCAGGGCACCGGGCTAGAGGGCAGATGTGGGTGGAAGGCAGCCTGTGGGCCTCTCCTCCAGCCCCAGCATGGAGCTGCACCCACCTGCATGAAGGCACCCTTTTCTAATCCGTGCAAAGACAGTAGAAGGACTGGTGGTGGCCCTGGAAGGGTGCTGAGAATGGGTGGGATTCACCCGGGGCAGAGACAGGGCAGGGTGTTCGGGGCTGTGGGATCTGCCTGCACAAATGCCTGGGTGCAGAACATGAAGCAAGGTGTGAGAAGGAGATGGAAGCCAAGAGCCATGAAACAGTTGGCTGAAGTCTTCACCACCAAACCCCAGAATTTGTCCATAAGCTGGGGCAAACAGGAACCACAGGCATGGTTGAGCAGGTAAGTGACAAGGTCAGAGCCACTTGTTAGAATTTTAGGCCAAGTCCAGCTGCCTACTGGCCACGTGGGGAAAGTGGTGTTAAGAGACCAAAGCTTTCCTTGGGCATCACTGCCTCACTTCTTTGGGAGTGAAGTCAGTTCTTTGTTCAGAAGCAACTTGAAAAAAAACTCTGGTACCCAAGCATTTAAGGAAGCTGCATGAACAGTGTGTGTGTGTGTGTGTGTGTGTGTGTGTGTGTGTGTGTGTGTCGAGAGTGGGGGGGGTGGTTATTGGCTCCAGCTCCTGCCAGTGGAAAAGATTTCCTTCTTCCATTTTCCTGCTCTAGCACCACAGTCACCAACTACCTGCTAGCCATGAACCACTATCCTCTCCTCCTCAACAACAGAACCCCAGTTTTACTTCAGATGGCAATGAGCCCAGTGAAAAAGTAACATTTCTAGCCTCCCTTGCATATAAGTGACTGTGTGACTTAATTTTAGGATATGAGATATAAGCAGGTGTTGGGACATTTTTAAGAAATGTTCTTTGAAACAGAAATATTGGTGAAGGCTACTTCTATCTTCTTGTTTCATCCTGCATTCAGCCCAGAATGCAGATGTGATGGTTGGAACTCCAGCAGCAATGCTGGGTCAGGAGGTGACCTTGAGAATTGTACTCATGCTGAGGAAAGCAGAACAACAAAATAGAAGACTGGGCTTCTGATGACACCATAGGAGTTTCCATATCATTCTTGGGTTGCCTACTTCTAGATTCTTGATAAGAAGGAGAAATAAACTTCTAGTTTATTTAAGCTACTGTTTTGTTTTTGTTTTTTGTTTTTCTTGTTTCTATTACTGGCAACCTATGCTAATTATCTACTATGACATAATAAATTACCCCAAAACTTAGTGGCTTAAAAACATCAATAATCATTATTATCTTCTCTCCTGGTTTCTGTGGGTCAAGAATTCCGACAGAGCAAACAGGGATGGTTTATCTCTGGGACATCTAGGGCCTCTGCTAGAAGATTCTAAAGCCAGGGGCAGAATCATCTAAAGGCTCATTAATTTATTACTGCTCATTAGGGCAGTAGGTGCTGGGCCTAACTAGGTCTATTGACTGGAACATCCAAAGAGGGCCTCTCCATGTGGCTTGGGTTCCCTCATAACATGATGGCAGTTTCCAAGGACAAGTCTATCAAGAGGGTGAGAGCTCTATTGCCCCTTTTGACCTAGTCTTAGAATTCACAAATACCACTTCTACCCCTTTCTATTGGTCAAGGTTATTAAGAAGATCCACCCAGTTTCTGGGGGAGGAAATATAAGACCCCACCTCTCAATGGAAGCTTGTCAACATCACATTGTAAGATTGGCATGCAGGATAGGAAATATCCAGGGCGCCTGGGTGACTCAGTGATTGAGCGTCATGCCTCAGGGTGTGATCCCAGAGTCCCAGGATCGAGTCCTACATTGGGCTCCCTGCATGGAGCCTGCTTCTCCCTCTGCCTGTGTCTCTCCCTCTGTGTGTGTGTCTCTCATGAATAAATAAATAAAATCTTATTAAAAAAAAGGATAGGTGATATTCTAGTGACCATCTTCAATCAGCCACTGAGCCAAATGCCATACCTACTCTACAGAGTGGTCTGCAAAATGAACACCAGTCTTTTCATGATGCTGGTCTGAGGGAAGAAGGTGGTGATGTGACAGATTTGGGCTAACTGGGGGCAGAATGATCTCAGGGCATGTATTAGGACCTTCTGACCCTTGATAGCTTAAATATGGCCATGAATTCTTCACAGCTTCCCTCTCAAGAGGTAGAACCTATTTCCCCACTCTTTAAATCTGGGCTGGCTTTGTGACTTGCTTTGACCAATAGAATGTGGTGGAAGTGATGTTTGCACCTGGGGAGACTGAGCCTTGAGAGGCCTTGCAACTTCTACCTTATGATGTCTTGGAGCCCTGAGACCACCATACTGTGAAGACATCCAGCCTCGCCTCCTGATAGATAACAGGTGGTGTATAGGAGAATAAAGGTCCCCAGTCAAGAGCTAGCATCAGCTTCTGGATATGGAAGCAGGGCCATCTTGGATACAGCAGAGCAAATCAAATCGCAGATGACCATAGCCACAGGGATGACCCCAGGTGGAACTAGCAGGAGAATCACCAAACTTCTCCTAGCTCAAATTGCTGACCTACAGATTGGTGAGAAATAAGAAATCCTCGTCGTTTTATGACACTGTTTCGAGGTGATTTGTCGGGTGTGATGGATAGTTGATACAAGGCCTTAGACCCATTTCTACTTCATGATGGACAACCAGGTAGAGAAGAAGACCAGAAAGCCCAATGTCTTCTGGACAGCTCCCATCTCCTGGTCTCCCAGTGTCTCTTGTTCATGTGTTCAGTCTCTGTTAGAGCCAACATCGAGCCAGGAGGATTCTTAAAAGGAGAGTAATGTCTGCGGAAAGGGACAGAGCCTTGTTCCAAAATCCCAGAGGCCTCTGCCTTTACTCTCTGAAGCCTGACACAGCATGGCCAAAGCAGAGCACCTGATTTCCAGCCTGCACTCCAACTCCGCTCCTTTATGTGTTTTCCGTCTCACTAAGTAGTGCATTCACCCAGTTGCTTAAGCCAGACACGTATGGCAATCCCCTCCTTCTCCTTCTTCTTTGTAACTTTTTATCGTGTAAAATTTCAGACACGACAAAAGTAGAGAGATTGGTGCCAGTAGGCCCTTTGTACTCAGTGCCCAGCTCTACAGCCATCACCCACCATGACCACTCACGTCATCCACATACCCACACTTCTCCCTGCTCCAAATGGGTTATCTTGAAGAAGATCTACAAGCTGTAGCATTTCATACACAAATACCTCCCTCACCCCGCACGTGAGATCTACACTCAGGTTCCACCTGCAACAGCTCTCTAAGCAGCCCCCAGGTCCTCTCCTTCCCAAACCACCCCCTTGTTTCAGGTGCCCAGGGCTCCTCCTCCAATGACCACCGCAGACTCCAACAAGCCTCCCTTTTCCGCTCATCCCCTTCAGCTCATAGAGCATAATCTTCAAATGTTAATCAAATCACATGTCCACCTCATCCAGGATACACTGATGCCTCCTATTAAGCATCAAATATAACCCAGACTCCTGCCCCAGCCCTCAGATCCCTGTGGGCTCTGGCAGATGTCCCCAGGCTCACCTGGGGCCTGATCCCCTTTCCTTACAAAGCCCCAACCACAGTGGCTTTGTGCCTGATCCTAGACCAAGCCAAGCTCCTTTCTACTTCGAGGTCTTGGCGTCCACTGTTCAACCTCCTGGAGCTCTTTTCCTTCCCCTAGCTCTTCCCATGTTCCCCACAACACTCAGGGCTCGCCTTGTGTCTTGATTGTCTACATCCATCCCCCACCAACCCCACTGTTACCCTTTACCTCAGCTCCTTCTGAGTTGCAATAATTTCTATTTAAGTGTGTACAAGTTTATTATTTGTTTCTTCTGTTAGAACTAAAGCTATAGGAGGCAAATGGTCATAGATGCAGATCTTTGAGTTGGACAAAGCCCCAACTCTGCCGCTGTGACCTGAGTGGCCCAGGGCAAGTCACTTAGCCTCTCTCTGTCTCAGTCTTCTCAGCTCAAATGGGGGATAATAATACAATCTACTGACTTCAGCCTGGACATCTGTTTTGAACTCTGGATTTGGGCATCCAGGGGCCTTCCTTGAGCAGTCCACTCAGGTGACCTTCCAAACTCTAGACATGCAAGCCTGACTGTATCATTCATCTTTCCCAAGCCAACCAGGAGATCGATTCTCCTATGTCCGTCCCTGTCTCAGTGAATGGCACCACCTGGGAGCCAAAACCCCTCAGCTGTCACTCCTCACCTTCATAGTCAGCCAGTTGCTGGGTCCTGTTCATATCTTCTCTGGCAACCACCTCCCGTTTTGGCCTCTCCTCCCATCTGAACTCTGCCTCTGCCTAGGCTCACGTCCCCAATTCCTGCTGCAAGGGCAGCGCCCTCAGTTGTTCTCCACATGTTTTCTTGCTCTCGTAGGTGGCTGCTTTTGTATCTCTGATCCCTTGTGGAGTCTCTGATGCATAGAAGGGTGGGTCTTAGTAGATATTGGATAAAAGAGTGAATGACTTATTATTGTAGTGGGCAGGGGGTTCTGGCAGCATCCACTTGACACTTCCTCTGTAACATCTCTTGTTCCCATGGGGGTGTGGGGCTTTGTGTGTGTCCAATGTGTCCCCAGTTACACACACACAGGAACCAGGAAAACAACCCAAGGTGAGTATTCTGTGAGCTTATCCCGCAATGGAGCAGCTACTAAGGCAGAAAATAAAAATCTGGTTTTTTTGTATTATTATTTGCTTATTATTGAGAGAAACTGCCACTTAAAAATTGTCTGTCACTTTCAACCTAGCTGGGGGTGGGGGGTCCATAATCTGTAGCGTTCCCCTCCTGCTGCAACCAACAGAATTGCAGGCACAGGCCCCAAGGGATGCTCCTTCCTCTAATGTGAATTTTTGGCAATCTCAAAGATGCTGAGAACGGCAGTGGCCTGGTTGAGCTGCTAAAAAGCCCCTGCTCCAGGCCCCCCAAATCCCCCAGCTTCTGCCCAGTTCCAGGTCTGACTACCAGCCCATGTTAGTGCTGTAGCTCCTAAGACCCTCCCTCCTTTTTTATTTTGCTTGTCATCAAAGATCCTTGATGGAGTGGGGATAGGAGGGAGAGCATTCGAGAACTCCTCTTCTTTGGGGGTTTAAAGTGTTTAAATTGGGGGTGCCTGGGTGGCTCAGTAGTTGAACGTCTGCCTTTGGCTCAGGTCATGATCCCGGGATCCTGGGATAGAGTCCCACATTGGGCTCCCCACAGGGAGCCTGCTTCTCTTTTTGCCTGTGTCTCTGCCTCTCTCTGTGTGTCTTTCATGAATAAATAAATAAAATCTTAAAAAAAAAAAAAGTAAAGTGTTTAAATTGTCCCCAGATGGCTGGAGAAAGATCTGAATTAAGATCAGATAGCAGAAAAGAACTTCAAAGGCCCTCAAGAGAGGGGTGGCCACAGCGGCAAGGGGTGGGTGGTCTAGAAGGTTCCTGAATGAAGGCCAAAGCTGGAAATGTCTCCTGAAGCAGCCCCCCACCCCCCACTCCAGTGGCTGTGACAGCAATGGCAGCGCAATGTCCCCCTCTGGCCACACAGTCACATGACCGGGAATAACTGCTGTGGGATCATCCACAGCAAAGGCACCTCCCAGTGGAGGCCCTCCCAGCTGTCTGGACTGCAGTGTAAAGTGGCAGTTTTGCTCACTCATAAACAAGGCACAAAGCAGATTTTTCTCTTCTGTTCTACTCACCGGATGCTCCACTGCAGGACCTGCTCCCTGTGGCTGGTGGGATCTCACATCAACCTAGAACTATTTTCCCGGTCCCTAAGTGTGATGTTCCCAAATGGGTCCACTCTCTAGTCCCCGGCACCTGTCAACAAGTTACCTTACCTGGAAAAGGGGACTTTGCAAATGTGATCAGAGTTAGGGATCTTGAAATGGAGAGATTACTCTCACATATCCGGAGGGAGCACCATTTCAAACAGCCCTTCGAGGACTTCTTTGATTAGCCTCTTTTCAGTGGCCACAGAGAGTGGGCCTTAGAGAAGCAGCAGTCTTCGGATTGCGCAGCTAATGGGTGGGGCAGAATGACTTTACCATTCCTTTCTCCCAAAGGCTTGTAATCCGCCCTCTGTCTAGTCTGAAGGAAGCATGAGCCAATGGTAGGTCCAAGTTGGAGTGAACCCTCTGGAAAAAGTGGCCACCAGATACAGGTGTTACAGCAAAGAAACCCACCTTCCCCTAAGCAGCCCCCAAGACAATCCATGTGTCAAGACCTGAATAGTTACTTCCTGCTGCCTGGTGGTGCACTCTCAAATTCCAGTTTTGTGTGTTCTTCGCTGGCTTCCACCATCCATCCTGGTTGTGACATTGTCTCCCCAGTCTGACTTTGCAGGGGACCCACAGGCCCTTTTTGGTTTCCATTTCCACCCTATCATCAGCCACCACAGGGCAAACCTGACGGTGGAGGAGAGAAAGCGGGGAGGGGAAGCGATATAGGCATCCCCAATCCTGAACCTTCCTCCCAGCTCTCCAAATGTCCTCCATCAGGATCCAGCTAACAAGATCCGTCCTCCGAATTAGGGCCTGCCACACTGCAGCAAACTCTCAGGAAGCCACAAAATATTATAAAACTTTGAAACACAGAAATATAAGACATCTGTCAGACAACTGGCAAACTGCTAGCTGGAGGCAGTTCACAGTTTCAACATTGAATTGCACTACGTTCCTTTTGACGATATAATATCTTCGTGAATCTGGGTTTTTAGCAGCTGCCACGATCAAAAGCAAGTACTACTGGGAAAGTCAATGTGTAACAGGAAACGAGAGTGGCAATGTCCAATTTGATTCCAAGTTGTGAGTAGTTGTGCAGTGCCCAACAGGCACACATATCCTACTTGCAAGTGACTCTCATTACTTAAGAATCAAACTATTCAGGGGATCCCTGGGTGGCGCAGCGGTTTGGCGCCTGCCTTTGGCCCAGGGCGCGATCCTGGGGACCCGGGATCAAATCCCACATCGGGCTCCCGGTGCATGGAGCCTGCTTCTCCCTCTGCCTGTGTCTCTGCCCCTCTGTGTGTGTGTGTGTGTCTCACGAATAAATAAATAAATCTTAAAAAAATTCTAATAAACTTATAATAATTTTTTAAAAATAAAATAAAATACAAGTACCTCTAGGGGTGCCTGTGTGGCTCAGTTGGTTAAGCATTGGACTCTTGATTTTGGCTCAATCTCAGTCCTGATCTCAGGGTCATGAGTGGGAGTTCTTGTTGGGCTCCATATTAAGCTCCTCCTCCTACTTCCTCCCTCCCTCTCTCTCTCCCTCTCTCTCAAATAAATAAATTAAATCTCTTAAAAAATACAAGTACTTCTCATATTTATTAAACGGAACTGTTAGGCATGATTTTGGCCCCGGGGGCCCCATGAAAAACCCACTGAGGTACACAGGATATGGAGGATACCACGAACCAAGGGAGTCTGAAAACCTCTGCCACAGGGATTTGGTGGGTTTGGGACTTCAGTTTTTGCCCATTGGGCTCCCCCACCATCAGTTTCTGGACTCTGTCCTTAGGGCTCTCTGGTGCCCGCTAAAGCAGACAGCAGGTTTGTGCAGCCACCCTGAAATACCTCACTGGCTTCCAGCAGGAACCCTTGACTTTCCTCACAAGTCCCTTCTTCTCTCCGACAGATTATGGTGGCTATGGTAGGTATTATAGCATGCTCATTTTTCATACGAGGAGACAAATGTAGAGCACTTAGAGGGCCTGCCTAAGGTTCCCCAGCCCTCAAGCTGTGGAGCTGGAATCAGAGCACGGCTGTGTAGCTCACAGTGTCTGCTTTAAGGCACTCCTAGTTGTCTCCCAGGGAGAAATCCCTGAACTGGAGAAAACCATGCTAAAGCATGGACATTGCCAGATGCCCTAAAACTGCACCTCAACCGGACCCTTTGTCTGGATCCCACAAGGTCACAGGTAAATCCTCATTTACCAGCATCGTCTGCCAAAATCACAACTGACTCTGGGTGAGGAAGACTTCACACAGTCCCCACCCCCACCCCCTGCCTGGAAAGCAAAGCATTATCAGCCTGGGAGTGTACATCTCGCAGCCTCCTTGCTAAAAGTTCCCTCTACCCAGTGGGGCTTTTTCTATAGACCTACATCGCGGGAAATGCCTTCTAGAGTATATGTGCAGTTTCCTTTATTCACAGAACTTTGTGTTAGATCTGTGGGAAAGAGCTCCAGGACATCTATCTGCTAAAACTGTGTGAAAGACCGAACAAATATTTTATCTTATTTTTTTTAATATTTACTTATTTGAGAGAGAGAGAATGCGTGCACGAGTAGGGGGAGGGGCAGAGGGAGAGAATCTTCAAGCAGACTCCGAGAGGAGCTCAGAGCTGGCACAGGCAGGAAAGGGGGGGTGGGGGGGTGTTCCCTGTGGGGCTCAATGTCATGTCTCATGAGGCTATGATCCTGAGCTGCAATTAAGAGCCCAGCTTTACAGTCATCCAGGCGCCCTGCAGTCAAAATTTTAAATCTTAGGTATTGGCGTATCCTAACAATCTGTACAATTTTAGGGTGTGGTCGTTCAGGGGTGAATGTGACTTGAATTTATCCATGTTTAGAGGGTGTCTGAAATTGAGAACCAGAAAGATCCATCGACTCTGACCCTAAATGTGGCTCTAAAGCAATTACAGCGGGGAGTTTCTGACATATGTCCATATTCAAGTGGCGATCAAAGAAGCCCACCATTGGGCAGCCCGGGTGGCTCAGCGGTTTAGTGCCACCTTCCGCCCAGGGTGTGATCCTGGAGACCCCGGGCTCCCTGCATGGAGCCTACTTCTCTCTCTGCCTGTGTCTCTGCCTCTCTCTGTGTCTCTCATGAATGAATAAATAAAATCTAAAAAAAAAAAAAAAGAAAGAAGCCCACCATGACGAATTGTGGACTGACAGTGACAACTGTGGATTCAACAAAAGTTCTTTTTAAAAGAGCTATTTTGGGGGAAATCCCTGGGTGGCTCAGTGGTTTAACACCTGTCTTCGGCCCAGGGTATGATCCTGAGTCTTGGGATCGAGTCCCACATCAGGCTCCCTGCATGGAGCCTGCTTCTCCCTTACCTGTCTTTGCCTCTCTCTCTGTGTGTCTTTCATGAATAAATAAATAAAAAATTTTAAATGGCTATTTTGAAAAAATAAATAAAAGGGCTATTTTGAAGATTATGATTCTGACTTTGGGGGAACTAAGTGGAAGGAGTCAGGTAAAATTCCTTAAATAAAAGTATATTGACTTAAAAAAAAAAAAGCAAGTTCCCAGGGAGGTGGGCATTTTCTAATCAGAGACATGGCTATCATTATGGACTGGCTCTGTCATAGAGGTGAAGATCACAGAATCTATCTGGGTTCAAACCTCCACTCCCTAACTTGGTCAAATAGAGTGGATGGCTTGATGCAAGGCACCTGGGCAAGTGACTTCAGCTTCCTTATCTGCAAATCATGATAAGAGGGGCACTCACTGGGTGGGGGTTTTTATGGACCTCAAGTGGGTAAAAACATGTAAAGCCCTTAGGATAAGATGAGGCGTACAATCGCCACCGCAAGTATTCACTAGTATTTTAATTATGATTTGGCACCAAACCCTACTCCCATTCATAGTGGCCGGGGCACCAAAACAGGAATCTCATCTGGAAAGCATCTTATTCCTTGGGCTTTGAGCTGCTTGGGAGGTGACTCCACTAAATGCCTAATGCAGGAAGTGAAAGGTGGCCAGATGGGTGCTGGTACCTACTGAAACTCAGTAGGTGTTGTTTCTGCCCCTCTTCAACCTTAGCCCCAGTCTGTACCAATAATGTCTGAAAAACATTACACTGAGCCCCTGGCGCTGAACTCCAGAGTGTCCTGGACTCCTGGAGCCCCAGACTAGTGTGGGAGTGAGCAGGTGAACATTTTCAAATGCAGTGATGAGCACTGATATAGAGATCTGCCCTGAGATCAATCCTGCTCCCAAAACTGCGACTCTCAGCTTCTGCCTGAGGGTCTCTGAGCCCAAACCCAGTCCCTCCTGCCAAATGCACACCTCTAAGGAAGGTGTCCACACTTTGGAGCACAAATTGGGAAAGTAGGACCCAGCCCTAATAATTCAGGTGACAGCCTGTGCTTCTGCCTCTGGGAAACAGTCTTCATGGGTAAGATACAGCAAAAGTCCCACCAGCCCCTGTAAAGACTGGCAGGGCCTGCTTCAGCTTACAGAGGACCCCTGGGGTCTTCCAAATAGGACAGAGGACACATGCCAGGGATCTGCTGTCTTTCCGTGGGGGGCAAATATTTGCCGAGGTGGCCAATATCGGAATAACACAAACATTTAATAAATTTTTAAAAACATTTTTATTCATGAGAGGCACAGACATAGGTAGAGAAAGAAGCAGGCTCAGGCGGGGAACCCCATGTGGGACTCGATCCCAGGACCCCGGGATCACGCCCTGGACCCAAGGCAGGTGCTCAACCGCTGAGCCACCGGGACGTCCCTACATTTGATAAATTAAGCAAGTTATTTATTGAGCTCTAATGAGCTTTGGGAGAGAAGCCAGGCTTCGCGGTGGCTGCAAGCCCGGGAGCCGACGTTAGGTGGCGCCAAAGGCCGATTCATCCACGCCTCCTGCCAGGCTCTCGACCTCCTCTCAGAGCTCCCTCCAAAGAACCTGCAATCTAGACGACCGGAAACCGCGAGGAGGGAAGGAGACAGGGTGCCAGAGCCGGGTTCAGGAGCATCCTGGTCAGGGACAAGGAGTGCGGATCCACACTAGTCTGAGCAAATTCAGAAGGCGCTGAGCGACTTTGGGAGTCTCGGGTCCCGGAATCCCGAGTAGGTGGAACCTAGAGGTGGGCGCGCCCATGCATTCACAGTAGGTGGAGCCTGAGGGGAGAGGGTAGGCTGCGCTCTCAGCGTGGGCGCCTGGGTAGGTGGGACTCACGGGATCTCCAGGGGTGGGGCTTGGGGGCATTCCTAGTGGGGGGACCCGGGACTCCGTAGGTGGGCCACGACTCCAGCGTGAAGGGAAAGTGTCAGCTGGACGTGGGCGGAGCTCTTTTTCCCAGCGAGGCGGGCCTGGGCCCCGCCCCTGCGATTCTCCCGCTCAGTGGGCGGGACTTGTAACTAGGGGCGGAGCCTACAGAGGCCCTTAAGGGGAACCCGTAACCTCCTGGAAGGCGGAATTTGCAGCTCTCCCGGACACCGAGGGAGTCTCTGCGGGATTCCCTGTACTCGTGAACCGGGGCTCCGCCTCCGAGGGGGTGGAGTTTGTGTTTCGTTCGGCGGGGCACGCAACGCGGCGTGAGAAGGAAGTGTAAACTTCGGGCGGGGCTTATACTTCCTAGAAGCGGGACGAACTGCCAGTCTGCCCTGCCCGTCTGCCCTAATTGCGAGCCGCCCTGAGGAGGCGGGGCTTGTGGCCTGGTGGGCGGGGCCACGGTTACCGCCTCGGCCGGGGCGGAGCCGATAGAGCAGAGGGGCGGGGCAGTGGGTCAGCGAGAATCTCTGAGCTGGCAGGGGGCGAGGCTTGTAGCTTTGGTGGGCGGGGCCTCCGAAGAGCTCCCGAGGGGGCACTTTGACAGCAGTGGGTGGGCGAGGCTCATAGTTCGGCGGGACCAGTCTGACCGCGGCGGCCGCGGGAGGCGGGCGGGGTCCGCGCCTGGAGGAGTAGGGCTCCGAGAGTCAGGAGGCGGAGCCTAAGGCAGCTCCGGGTCTGGGCGGAGCCCCGGCTGGGCGCAGGCGGGGGCTCTGCCCTGGGAGGCAGTCTGTTTAGGCCCGCACGCAGCTCCGCATCTGTTGCTCATTACAGAATGACAAAGAGCCGGCTCTGGGCCCCCTTCCCCACTCCCTTTCCCTCCCTCCGACAGCAGTGCATTTAACTCTTTCCTGCCCTTAGGACGCTCGGGATCCCCGGCCCAGCGTCACAGGAGGGAGCTCCAGTCTGTCCCATCCTGGCAGGCTTTGTCACCCCCAGGCTGCGTCCACACCTCCTTCTCAGACCCAGGCCTCTGGGCCACCCCGCGACCCTACTCTCATGCTTTGAATCTCTGCAGCAGCATCTCCGAGGTTAAAAAATCTTGGGCAGGATCTGGCGGGGCGTCTGGTTTGAGTTAGGGGAACAGGAGAGCAAGGACCGGGGGCGGTGCATAGCGTTCCCTCCACCCCCTCATCGGCCCGGGTTCGTCCCCAGTTCTGGCCCCTCCTCTACCGGTTCTCCGGTGTCCTGCCCAGGCCCAGGCCCCGGGGCCAGAGGGTGGCATAAGGCACTCGGTAGGAAAGAGGTCTCTAGGCCACCCCTCTCCTGCCTGGGTGGTCATGGTGGTTCTGCTCCGTTCTAATTAGAGGCCCCTTAGAGACTGCAACTGAAAAATTACAGAGGCAATGGGAACCGAAGCCTCCCGGCCCAGGTCCCGCCTCTCCTGGTCCCCAAGGCAGTGAACCCAGGATGAAGAAGTTTGCCAGGTTCCCCCAGGCTGTGATCTTTGACCATCCCCTTTCAGGATTCATAGGACACCTCTACATTGAGCAACTTGCTCAAGCTCTGGTCTCCTAGGTCTCTCTGTCCCAGCACCACCCACACAGAGAAGGGCAAAATGTGCCTGGCTCAGAATCCTGCCAAAGGAGTTGGATATGGGATATCTCTCCCAGGTTCCATGGTCTCCCCATTTTAGCCTGCTAGGCAGTGACTCCCACTTCCTTCCCAGAGCACGGAGGAAGGGCACCTTCGGAGCACCTCCAAACCAGAGGAGTGGCAGCACCTTTAAGTGCTGGGCCCCAGCTGCCAATATGCAGGCAGCCTGTGGGGATAGGATGGCAAGTACCAGAGGACAGTCATAAGCTCACCCACTAGACACCCTTCACTCCCCAGAATCACCAGATCCAGAGCTTAATTTTGACTCCTAAATCCCAGTTTGGCTCTGGTTCAGCAGAAGCCCTCATTCTAGAATCCTCCCCCATATTCAGCCCCACTTTCTTGGAGTTTTGGTAAAAAGAGGAACAAATATGAAACTCCCCATGCCAAACCTCCCACTCCTGGGCTTGCTGTGTGACCTGGGGAAAAGCTCTGCCCTCTCTGGCCTCCTGTTTACTCAAGAATCTGAAGCATACCTCCCTTAAAAGGGTCTTACCTTATTTCCTTGGAGCCCAGACAAGCTGAAGGAAGATCCCATCTTTTTTGCTGAGTCCTCCCAGACCCTCCCCTCAGACATCAATGGGGGTCAGGA